GTGGGGGGGGTGATGGACCTGGATAAGGGCTGGGGGGGCGCTGGCCCAAAAAAGGTTGAGAAACACTGGTCTAATCCATTGTGCCAAGGGTTCATCGTAACACTGGCGAATAGTAATGGGGACATGGAACATCCTTGTCTGCACCCTTGCTCAATTTTTCTTTCTTCTGATAACCCCCCACTGATCCGAATCTTACCTGTAGGCTTATTGTACAGTTCCTGACTTATCTTCAGGGTTTCCCCCAGTGTATTATAGGCCTGGCGGCCCGCCATCCTTTACTAGCGCCACCGCCAGGCTAAGCCTTTCTTGTTTATGTTTTTGGAAAAATAATAATTAAAAAAAAAAACAATCTTTTTTTTAAGCCGGATTGCAAGCATCTGTGTTGCTCTGAGCGCTTCACTGGCGGACCAGATTTATTCTTAAAAGAGATATTTATAGAAGATAGGTGTATAGTTCATGCATTTAAAGCCGAACCGATCACACTGCTGGCGCCTCTGCGCTGCAGCAGCTGGATTAAGTTTACCTCAGAGCAGATCACCTCCTTTCACTCAAACTGGACTCAGGCTGACCTGTATGGATATTTACATCAACCACTGTGAGGAATTATGATTCTTTCCAGAGTTTTTGATCAAGGCAGGACTTTAAACAGCACTCTAGTTGGCTCTGGTTGTGCAGCTCTACGTGAACTTCAGGAATAACTTGTAGTCACTTCCAGAGGTGCGTTGAGCGAGTAGTGAGAATGATTTACATTTGTGAACAAAGAATTTTGTGCGGCTTTACCATCTCAACACGCCGCCCAGCGCCCAGCTCTGCCTGCACTGATCAAGTTTATGTTCCTGGTTGGCCGGTGTGTTGGTTAACGAACCAGCGCTAACTTGATCATGCAGGTTCAGCCTGGTGAGGAGCTTTCGCTCCTGTCTGTAACGCATCATGCTTATTTTATATTCTATTATTATTTTTAGTATTATTGTTATTATGCATCAAACCGTATCGATGCTTTGTCCACTTAGTCAATCAGAGTTAATGAGCGGAGATCTGAGAAGCTCCTCCGATAAACTGGACCGACCAAAACAGTTTCTGTGATTCTTATTAAAACTCAACAGACAGAAATGTCAGAGCTGCTAGAGCCACATTAGCAGCATTGAATTAAATCTCCTGTTTG